TAATATTCCTATAAAAAGTATAGTAGTCTATACCTCATAAACCGGGGGTCTATAGTATTATAGACCACCGTACTCCTACTAGGTATACGTACTCGAGTTTATTTAATAGAGTAGCTAAGTAGTTACTAATATTATTAATATAGTTAACTTAATTTTGATAGGTTAAAATAGACTTTACTAAGGACTATAAAATGGCTCCACGTTGCACGAAATAACCTTTTGTTTGGAGGGGAGGAGAGTAGCTAATTTAGAAAGCATTAAAGGGTCATCCATGAAATACGAGAGAGAAGCGAAGAGAAAGCACGGTCTATTTGATTAGAAAATAGCGCTGACGTTATCAACAGACCTTCAGTATTTAATCTAGTTAGGTACCCTTGCCTTCTTCCCCGCGATAGTCCGGCTGTATAATAAAGCGAAGTACGCTACCTATGAATGTCTGACAAACTTACACTGACCACTTTTCTTCGTCTAAGCTATTTTGAACCTCTTTTCAAAGCACTTTCCTTCGAACACACATCTACCTATTTTCTCAATTCGCCTTACCTACAAGATGCAATTCCTCCAAAAGCTCCTTGTTCTCACTGCTGTAGCAACTACATGCGCCGGCGCTGGCACTGGTTACAAATTCGCATACTGTCAGAACGCAGACCGTAGTCGCTCTATTGAGGCGACGCAATTCTCATGTCTCTATTATACTATGAATGGCTGCCCTGATTGTTTTAAAGACAAAGAATCCAATGATTGCGTGAGCGCATTGCATAACATTCAAGCTTTGCCGTGGGCTGATATTTGCCGGCTCTACGGTGCTCCAAAATCGAAGGTGCTATGAAATGGAGCTACTGTATGCAGCACCAGCGGGTTAGGGTTAGTTGGGGTTTCTTCTATCTTTTGGTCTGATATTAATATTTCACAGACAAACGAACATATTCAACCACATGTTATTCAAAAGATCTTCCTATATCTTTCAGCATTGATTCGATCGCGTTTGTTCCACGCCATTGTTTCCTGTTTGAAAAACGCTCTGCAGCAACATTCCAAATCAAAACAGCATTATACAAGACAACACTATCCAATGACAACATGCCATGACTAGCTACGAGGCACCAGACCAGCCTGGGAGAAGCGCGATCGGATGAGATATGGGGATGAAATTTTGCTGGTATCACTGCGATGTAGCACTCGATGGGTTGAGGCGGAGTCTACTACTTGGAAACCAAGATACATTTTTTCTCTTACCAAGCTTTACATTTGGAATAGTGTCACGTCCATTCGTTTCGAGAGTCTTGTGAAAGAAGCTAGAAATCATGCATCGCAAAAGAATTTATCTGCTAGATCAAGCTTTCATTGGCTTGGACGTGTATCCGGCAGTTAACGATTTTTATGTGGATTTCTGTTCTCGCTAAACATCTTGTTAGTTCAATGCTAAGAGCACTCATTAGCTGGTGAGTCACGTAAGGGCTTTTTGGTTCGCTTGTTCTTGTTGCTTGAGTAAGACGATTCTCAGGATTGGTGGCTTCCTATAATCCCCCAATGATCTATGACTCCAGTATTCTTTTGTTGGGTGTTTTTTAGGTTCATGTGTATCATGTAGATTGTCTGTGAAAGCACTTAATATGCTGCTAAATTAGAACCGTTATCCATCGAGTAGCTAGTGTATTCGCTAATGGCGAAGTACCACTAAAATTCACATGGGAAAATGGTGCTCAATTACAGCCGTTATCCGTCAAGTAAGTGTATTCGCTAATAACAAAGTGTCGATACAGAAACACTTACAATTTACTACTAAACTAGAACACGTTATCCGTCAAGAAGTCAATGCACTCAGCCACAACGAAGTGCCAATTGATAATGTATTTAGGTAGAGTGATCAATTATATCTGTTTTCCTACCTAGTCCCAAAGGATGCCTAGAATTTGCTTAATCCGCGACAAAGTACCCTATATGTTCTATATATATCGCTCTATCTCCGATGAGAATGCACATAGAATATGGTGCTAGGTCAGAAACCGTTATCCGCCAACTAAATAGTGCATTCGCTAACAGCGAAGTGCCGCGATCAAGGCACTTACGACGTACTACTAAAGTAGAACCGTTGTCCGTCAAGAAACTAGAGCATTGGCTTATAACCAAGCGCCGATGTGAAAACACTTTTCAGACGCCACTAAATTGAGACCCGTTATCCGTCAAGAAGCTAAAGCCTTGGGTTATAACCAAGCGCCGATATGAAAATACTTTTCATACGCTACTAAATCAGAACACGTTATCCGCCAACAAATTAGTGTGGTCGCAGTGGGAGTGTGGAACTGGAAGCACAAGGATGGGTATATGTACCATTAAGCGAATTCTGTGTGTCCTTCAGGACCGGGTATCGCAGTGGAACGTAAATTGACACTATACCCAAACATATTATTTGTCGCAAACAATGAGGCCTGATCTCACGTTAAATCTTCTAAATGGCAACACATTCAGAGAAGCTATCCCAACCCGACCAAATGAAAATCCCGATCCATTCGTTATCTCCATGATAGAAAACGGCGCCTAACACTAGTTACTGATCCGACAATGTAGTGTAGAGAGTAGTGCCAAACTTAGTGTACTTCTCAACCGATCTGGATTCAATTTCGAACTATGAGACTTTGGCGATACATAATTATTTCATCCAAACTCCATCATAGACCTCACATTTTTCTCGCCATGCTACTGTTAGTTCATACCAAAGAGCTATGAATTTGCTTGCTTGTCCCTGAAAGTTCCTCACCAGTTTCACAATCTTCATACTCGTTGAACCAAAGCAAAGTCTTCAATACGTATATCCATCATACCAATACTTCAACACTACACCACAACACCACAGCACCACAGCACCACAACACCACAACACCACAACACCACAACACCACAACACTACAACACCACACCACCCCAACCAAAATGACAACCCCCAAATGCCTCCACTTCTGCACCTCCCCCCTCCACTCACCAACCGAAAAATCCTGCACCTTCTGCACCCACTGCCAAANAACCAAAATGACAACCCCCAAATGCCTCCACTTCTGCACCTCCCCCCTCCACTCACCAACCGAAAAATCCTGCACCTTCTGCACCCACTGCCAAACCTGGCAAAAAACGCGAAACACCCCCCTAATCCTCCAACGAGGTATTTCCTCCTTCTCCCCCACCCATCTCCCACACTAACACCCCCAGCATTCAAAGAATACCTCCTCCTAAACCTCGGCACCGACCATCGCAGTATAGCCGACCTCTCCTTCCACAACCCCCTGGTCGCAAACCAATTCGAGAATCCGCCTACCAGAAGACCCGCCTTGAATGGGAGGTGTGGCGCGAGTAGAAGATGAGGAGGAAGTGTGCTGCNCCTTCCACAACCCCCTGGTCGCAAACCAATTCGAGAATCCGCCTACCAGAAGACCCGCCTTGAATGGGAGGTGTGGCGCGAGTAGAAGATGAGGAGGAAGTGTGTATTTAGTAGGGTTTTGTTTAGGATGGTGAATTCGAGGAGGGGTGGGTCGATAGGAGGGTTCCGAGGGGGGGTAAGAGGGGAAGGGAAGGTGAGTTTCTTGGGTGGGTTGAGTTGGGTTGGGGGTTGTGTGACTGACGAATATAGGAGGAAATTACGTATTAAGGACGAGATAATTACTTCACGTCATCAATCACCAAGTATTTTCACGGCGCCAGCACTTGTCTAGCAACGAAGCCAATCTTCAACAATACCCTATCGCCGTTATCACATCATATTCCCAGCACTAGACACTCAAACCAAAAACAAGCACGATCCAGGAGATGCGAAGGAAGCGAATCACGTGCCACAAAGTTTCAGCTCAACACACAACTACACGATACCTCCTCGATCATGCAGTACTCCGGTAGAAGGAAATGGGTAGATTCCAAAGAGCAGGGAGAAGAGAAGATAATCTGACAGTAACCCTTTCCCATCTCTTTCAATGGGTTTTACTGGTGCTGTCAGGTGATGTTATTAGATAGTTCGCTTTAAAGATTTTATTACAATTCAAAAATAATGCTTTGCACATCCTGTCTCCCTTGATATTCAAATACTAAATCTGAGATACCATATTCAAGAAATGCACACCTGACTTCCACCTTAGAACATGCGTATGATACATCATACAGTCAGTCTCAAGAAATAGCCACATGTTCCACCACTCAATCCCTAATACCAATCTCCTACCTACGACCAAACAATCCACCCATACACACACCGTTCATATCTTACACCAACGAAATCTAACTCTACTATATATAATCTCCAATGACCTCTTCAACCCATCCACATCTCCATACCGACAGTGACACGACCCAACCAAAGTAAACCAGTACCCGAGACAGAAAAGGTGTCTAGTACCCCAGCCTCCACCGTCTCCTAATTACCCGGCACGGTGATCTTACTCAGACTGTGAGAAATGGCTGAAGCCTGATGGGTCTTGTCAAATGTTCGCGTTAAGTTCGAGACTGGTCTCTGTTGTGTGTAGATGGTAGGAATACGGGTCGAACCTTGGTCCTTGAATAAGAGATACAATCTTCGTTTTCTTTTTATAAAACATATAATAGGATAATAAGATAATAAAATAATATTATTCTAATTAAGAGAATTAATATGAATAATACACCGCTAATAATCGAGGATCGGTAAAGATATAATACCTTAGGGGAAAAAAGAGTATACGATACTAGCTACTAGTCGGATATAGAGGAAATAACAATAAATCCTTAGAGTTAAGGGGTGTGTTGTTGGTGACTACCACTAGGAGACATACTGTTATGTACTCGAGTACTGCAAGGGGAACTAGTAGTATAATTCCCCACACACGAGTACTAATTACAAATCCCGAGATAACCTGTATATAAAATCATAAAGATATATTTGAATGGTGGTCATCTTATCTTTTCTTTTCTTTTCATTTCCTATTCATTCAATCCACAGAAGAAAAATTCGGAAAAAAAAAAACACCCAAACCCCCAATAACAGACCGAAAATTTTGCGCAAAGAAAAACAAATTTTCATCACGAAAAAAAAGAAAAGAAAACCATCAATATGGGACGAAGAAAAAAAAGTCACAATTCATTTCATTTCGGTCAAATCCCACCATCCAACATCCATCCGCTCATGCGATCGATCAAAAAGATCATCCCGCATTACAAGAAAAATAAAAAGAGGGAAAAAAAGTGAGAAAGATAAAACAAGTTGTACATATTTCCCCCAAATCATCCCAACGCCAAGCGCAGATCCCAATGTTTAGGCCTAAATACAGAGTCGCAAGACATTCGCTGAAAAAACTACAGACACACAGAAAAGAGAAGTTCTAATATCCATGTCTCTTGTGCTGTAACATATGTCTCTTGCGGTACCCGGGCCCCGTAGGAGCAGGGACGGAGACCGTATTCGTGACGGAAGCCGTGACGGTGATCTCCTCCAAAACCCATAGGATCTCCTGGACGACGTTGCCGTTGGTCTTGTACTCGGTGCTGTAGATGGGCTTGGAAGGAGGAGCTGGTGGTGGTGGTGGTGGTGGTGGCGTAGGGGTTGGTGGGACGGGGATGATGATGGGAGGTGGGACGGAGCCGGTCTCGGCTGGTGGAATGCCACCGGATGGGGTGAGTTTGGCGGCGAAGACTCCTCCTGGGGCGAATGAACCTNGGGGATGATGATGGGAGGTGGGACGGAGCCGGTCTCGGCTGGTGGAATGCCACCGGATGGGGTGAGTTTGGCGGCGAAGACTCCTCCTGGGGCGAATGAACCTGATGGAAGCTTGGTGCCGGATGAGTAGGCTGGAGCGGGAGGTGGTGGAGGTGATGCCTGGACAGGTGGTGGAGGTGGGGAGTAGACGGGTATCGGGGGTGGGTTGGCTCCTCCTGGTTGACCACCAGGTGCGGCTCCATGGGCGTAACCGGGTCCATCAATGATGGGAACATTTCCTGGGAGTGCGGGCAAGCCTTCGTAAACTGGTTCATTCTGGAGAGCAGCTGGGAGGGTGATGCTGCAATTGGAATATCTGTCATCACTTTGAAGAGTGAAGAGAGGACAGTCTTCGACTCTTCCTGAGAGGGAGGTACATTTGTTGGAAGCGTCTTGGAGGAACTTGGTATCCCAACCATTGATGAAATCGGCGTGGTATCCAGCTCCTGTTTCTTGTCAGTTCATTGTTGAGATGCCTGCGATGAAAGAGTCACTTACCAGAGGTGTCACCATTTGCGATAACAAACTCTCCATCTTTTCCAGCAAACGCATACGTGTCCCAAATAGTCTCGTAGAACAGGGAAGGAAGACGAACTGGGTATCCCTTGGGGCAGTCTCCAGTCATGACCAAGCTAGGGAATGCAACGTGATCTTTCTTGTTCGGGGACGAAACACGCTTTCCATCCCAGCATGAAGGAAACATAATCTCAAATCGCACTCCGTTCTTGCAGTTCGCATCCAAATAAGCTTTATCTGGAAGAGTGTGGCGGTAGAGAGAGCCTTCGGGGGCCTTGGAGTAATCGAGACAGTTGAAACCTAGGGCGGCCTGCTCCAGAAATTCTTGAGTGTTATATGGTGCCTTGTTCCACAAAGATTTCTCAACATCAGGAGATGGGTAGCTGAAGTTACGTCGGTTGGTATCACCAGAGATCATCTCAAAGTCCTTTGGGAAAGCAGTGACGTTCTTCTCTCCATTGTTGGGTTGAAGGAGATAATATGCGAGCATACCACCAAGTTGGTTAACAAGAGTGAATTTGCCAGTGGCGGGATCTTTGAAGTAAAGGGATGGGTGCCAGTATGCAGACTTGTCTTCTGCAACTGCGCAAGAAGTGCAGGTACTAGCAAGGAGCTCGTCGGTCTTGGCGCTAATAGAGAATCCTGGAGGGTGGTTAGTATTTTGGATCAAGACTTGTAGGTCCAAAGCTCCGATGGATGGGCAGATCAAGCATCTTCGCTGTCACCGACACACGCAAAAGTTAAGCGGGCAAGAGATCGGATATTACGTACCATTACCACCATGAATGGAATGGGCGTGTTCAGCGATTTCGTTCCAGGAGACAAGAGGATCAATTCTTGCTACTCCCGTTCGAGCCATGCAGGGCATACGCCAGAAGGCGCTGGCCGAGAGCGTGAACATTCCAACAGGTAGGAGTGCCCTGGGGGCAACCATGTTGGACAAGCGCATGTTGACTATAGTCGTAGAGGAAAGGGTGTGTTGAAAAGGGGTATTGCGTTGATTGTAAGAAATGAAGAGAAAGTTCACAACGTTGTGGTTTGAAGGAAAGTGGTTGTCGTGTCAGAATAATGTCTAGATCCAAGTCGTTGTTGTCGTCTGAGGTTGGGGTTATTGATATTGGACGAGGTTAGCGTGACGTAGCTTTCACCAACGAAGCAGCAGGAATATGCGAGGATGAATGGAAGTCCAAGGTAGCGACAATCGGCTGCTGCACTTGTCCAAATAGAATGACGACTTTGATAGTGAGATATGTCGTTGGTGAATTCTCTGCCTGTCGTCCAAACTTTCTTTCTTCGCCAATCCAACACGTAACCAATATACCACAAATAACTCTTGTCCAACTTTGTCACCACAATGAACCAACTGCCTGACTGTTCCTCCTTTGTTTGATATATCAAAGTATCGTCAACGGGATTTGTGTTTCCTGGACGAATGGAATGAATGATGGATTCTCCAACAGGACCAATTCCTCCAACTGATCAATGCGCCACAACCAAATGAGTGTGAGTTCTCGTGAGCTGGCCACGAAAGGGGAAAAGGCGAAAAAAAGAATGTGTAAAGGGGGTAAAAACCGAGGCGGGTATCTACGAAAGAAGGGAAGGGCAAGGCGTACAAGTACTGCGAGCGCGTAGTGATGGTGGGGGGAAGGAAGAAAAGAGGGAAGAGGCACAGTGGAATTGATGAGAGAGAGAAGAGAAGAGGATCATCGCCAAAGGATTGGCATTTCTACAAACGAACCAACACGGGCAAGGCGAGCAGGACGAGCAGGACGAGCAATGCCAGCGGGAACCAACCGACCAGGCACCCACGTCGGCCAGGCGGGCGGCGGGCGCTCCCTGGGATTCTTACTTTCTCAGGGACTCTCAGGGAGTGTCAGGGACCCTCGGGGCATCTGCTGGCTGCGCTGCAGAGCCATGGAGCACGACAGATTGCAGGCAGCAGACCGCGCTGGTGGTGCGTACTGGGTGCAGTGGGTGGGCACTTTCCAGAAACTGCCGGGGCCGTTGCTCAATATCAGTGGGTAGAGAGTAGACACCCCGGAATCAAGGGGTATCGATGAGACGGATGATCACCAGCGTTGCGAGGGGTAGGGCCTTAGGGGGCACCGGGGCATCGCTTCAAGGCCATGTCGGATGTCCAAACTTGACGGTTAAAGATGTCAGGGGAAATCTGTGAGTGCACCAGTGTGAGGAGGGAAGCACCAGCCACCAGGCATTTCTACGGCCTCAAGTCGTTGCGCCGCTGCCCGCCCTTCCTCTCGCTTGCTCAGATGCTCTCATCTCACTTACTTCGAAGTACTTTCGCAAGTCAATAATTGTAAGACATTCTCGCGATGCATTCATTATTGCCTATTTGGGTGCGACGTCCTCATCTCATCTCCTGCTCGCGGCTCTTGGCTGCGGTGCCCACTGCGGACCAGCTGCCAGCAGCATGTGGCCAGGCTCCAGCGCGGGTGCGAGACACGTTGGGTTCATCATGAACGATGATCGGCGTCTAGCCGCTGTGCATTTAAATTTATAGTGTGCAAAGTAACTGCAACCAACGATGCCGTTGGAATCGAATCACCGCCCTGAGGCTCAGATGGGATGGTCCATGGGATGGTCCATGGGATGGTCGTCGCTATTACTCCCGCGGGCAGAGCTAGCAGAGGCATGCACGACACCTCCAGTGTGACCAACCAGGTGGCCAAGCGATTGATTGCCAGGTGGACCCAGGAAAAGGGGTAAGAAGCCATTCTTTGGCGAACCGGCTCGTCAGGGCCAGAGGGAGGGATGAAAAAAGAGGAGCGATAAAAAAAGAGGAGCGATAAAAAAAGAGGAGGGATGAAAGAAGGAGGGATGAAAAAAGATGAGGGGTAAGGGATAGATGCACCAATAATAGCCAGTACTAAGCTTGTTTTAAAGATTCCATCACTGAGGAGGGAAGGAGGCGCCGTTGATTGGCTCAAAGACCAGATGATGGATGTTCCTGGTGTGTTTCATCTTTACGACACCCGATCGCTTGCACCGAAAAAAGAGGTTGGGTAACCTCAAGGATATCTAATGTAAAAATTTAGAAATCCCAAATATAAACCTCCAGGAGTCGTCTTCCTCCAAATAACCTCAATCTCCGGAGTCATCCTCGAAAAGAACGATAGATTGCTGATACATCCCACAGCGTCAACACCTCTTCAGGGACGTTTGTCGAGGCGTATAAACAGCACCGCAGCCGCAGTCACCAGCCGTCAGCATTATTGCAGCAAACACACCTTTCATCACACCGTCAGTCCGAGAGCTTGAGATCTTCTTCTAATTAGAAAGCCACGGAGATTGCGATTATGGCCAACCCATCACCTGACCCCCACCAAGAAAAAGCGAGAGAGTCTGGGGAAACACACCAAGCAGTTCTTCTTCGTTTCCTTCGGTCGGTTACCCACTGCGCCACCGTCAGCCGCTGCCTCGCAGGCTAGCAAAGCGAATCAAATTCAAACAATCCTCCGCAACTTCTACAAGTAAGGTTACAAATGCAGGTACGGAGTACAAGCTTAAGCGCAGAAGAAATGGATTAACGATAAGAATCCCCGGGGTGGTGAAATAGAGCCGATAGGCTTCTTATCTCTTGTACGCGGCGTTCAGTTTCATTCTTGTTGGGTTGCCATAAACATGACCTCATCCGAACATTACTTTAATTTGTTTCGACCGTGCTCGTAAAGCAGGTGTGCGGTCATTCTAAGCACGACAGTAGAGCAAAGGATACGAAGAAAACCGATCCGGAGGGAGTATGGAACAATTTTCGACTACAGTAGATACTATTCCCCAACTGGTGTAATCCTTCCAATTTCATCCTCGTAACCTCTCCAAACTCCAGGTCGGAGAAATAACAGTTACGATAAGATTTTACGAAGTAGAAGTACAGCACCCAACCGCCACCCACAGCACGAGCCCCCGAAATCTAATCTGGCAGTTCAAGTATCCGGTAAATCGTAAACGCCAAAAAAAAAATCAAGGCAAAGCACGTTCATCCCAACATCATCCATCGTACGCACCCTGCCGTCCCATCCAAGTACCGAGTTTCAACGAGCCTTTTCACTTTTGCGATCGACCGTTCGTCCAATTTCTTCGAGTCAGGTTGCGTGGTGGTGACGTCGACGAGATCCCCGCGTTGGTTCTTATGGTTAATTCGAGATGCATGGTGTATCCTGGAGACGGACAGGATGAGGTTGTTTGGGATGAATCATGAAGGTTGGGAGGGGAAGTAAGTGAACAATACATGAGATTATGTCGTCTACTGTGTACGTAAGACATCTGGGTGGTGGAAGGAAAGGGTGGAGGAGTTCCGATATTAAGGTTGAAGATTGCCCAAGGAGGGTTCAAGAAGTTTGTTCGGAATTTCTCCCGTCCCGGCTTCGAATTCTTGTTTGGTGGGAGTGATTGAACCGATAGGTAATCTTGACCTCACGAAATTTACAGCTCCTTTGGATACCTAATTCGTGGATTTGATTTCAGTCCATCCATCCAATCCAACATTCCTTCCCTTCCCTTCCCTTCCTGAAATCCAAATCCATCCAATCTACCAAACACCACCAATCCTCCAAAACCATCCACAAGCCCACCCCCACCCCCTCCTCCTCATCGAACATCGAAATAAAACAAGAAGAGCCCTCGCCCTCCCCAAAATCCCAATATCCACGCCTTCATTCATCCCATCTTTCCCCATCCCATCACATCACATCACACCTTCCCAAGCGCCGTCCACACTCCCACACCCCACCCCGCCCACAATTTCTGCACCTCCCATTCCCAACTCTCGAGCCTCTTGCGAAGAAGGTTGGCGGCTCAACATACCAATTACCAAGTAGATCCTCGACTCCTCGAGGAGCTTTGTCGTGATCAGCGTAATTTTATTTCCCGGGCTTACTGAGGAGATTGGAGTTAAGGGGTCCTTCTTGGATTGTGGGATAAGGTGCTGATGCGATGATGTTTTTTTCCGGGTTGGAGGGATAGAGGATGGAGGCTACGATGAGATACAGTAAGATATTTTACTTCTCTGTGAACCACATACTCCGTCCATTCGCAAATTCACAAGACCACCCACAAAATCAAGTAACACAATGTAAAAAAGTCTTAACACCAAGGGAAAACATCTCAAGAATCAAGATCCCGACGATACTCATTAACCTCAATACAAAGGCTGTAGCCTTCGTATCTGGCATACCTATACGTTAAGGTATACACAATGCAGATTTCTCGGATTATTACTTATCTTCTCCACTGCAAGGGAAGGAGACCTAATGGAGGCCTCCAACGCTGAACTGTAATCTTACAAAAGGGCACTGCCTTCCTCCCCCGACACTGGTGTGTATCATGCCATTGCTGTTATTTCAAGTATCGGATTCATTCAAGAGGATCGTCTTGCGAGCCTTACTTACCTTTCGGAGTCAAAATTTCAGATAATGGAGCAGGAAGAGCCTCCGAAGAGGGAAGATCACCAAGTATACTATCTATCTTGAATTCCCTAAAGTACGAATTTGTATTTCTTCATTCATGTCTTTGGTTCCTTGTTCCTTCTATCTTCTTTCCCTCCATATATTATATGTTTTCACAGCATTCACTTTCTGGAAACATGTCTAGTACGTTTCTATTTGTCTGGATTATTGCGGTGATGCATGCGATGGGTGAGTGGAGATAAGGTGAGTGATGGGATTGTATGGCGGAGGTTTGGAACTCTGGTACTTGTATGGAGTGGAGTATATAAGGATGTCTCGGGGCTTTGCTCAGGATTAAACGTTCGAAGACTGATTCGGAGGGGGAAAGTGGTACTATACTGTACATGAGAAGATAGATTGGTTTTTTTCTTTGACGCTTGGTAGATGGTATATCTTCCTTTCTTTTTCTCTTTCGATTCTTCTTGTAAGAGACGTGGTTGTTACTCTGTACATATCTTTCTTAGGAAAAGATTATTCTAAAAGCGTTGTATAACAAGAATAGTTATAAAGAGAGTATAGAATAATAGTTATTAGGTACTTTTTATTAATCTAGGTATACTATTATATTTTTATTAGTTATACTAGAAGATTAGTATAATAGCATCTGATATATAGTATATATAGCGTAACTACCTAGTATTCTGGTATCGATTAAATGGTACTCATGAGGCCCGTGCTATCTCTGGCATAAAAGGGAGCCACTTAGCTATGTTCACACTACAAAACAGCCAAAAATCATATTCCACTGACCCCAACTTCTAGCCCTAACCCTAACTCTAACCAAACCCTAACCCTAACCCGTCTACCTCTTTATTTCTAATCCTAATACTGAAAAAATAGTAGGTATTATAGTAGTATTTTAGTAGTAGAGAAGAAGTAGGTGTGACGAAACTCAAACTATCTGACAAAGGTAATCGTTTCGACGATTGGTATGCGGGTAAGAAGTACAGATGCGCCGGGTTGTTTACTCGGAGGTAAACTCGTCACTTGTTAACAAAGAAGTAATAACTTAATAACTAGATTGCTAAACTAAGTTGAGCACGAAGCTCCTATCTAATGGCAGAGGTGCCAGTCATATATAGAACCTTCGTTCTTCTGGAGCTTGGAGGGAGCCCAAGATCCTCAAGCTCCAACCGAAGCTCCTGCAAGCTCCAACGGTCATGTGACCATGTCATGTGATACTAACCAAGAGAAATCCCTGG